AAAGTATTTGGGGATGTAATGAAGGGCATTGGGTTTTTCCTCTATTATTCCCTGATTAGAAAATGCAGGAAGATAACTTATCAATGTCACCAGTGCTGTGATAGGAGAATCTGGGTCATTGTGAGCATGAGTAGGAAAGTTTTCAGTGAAACCATTTCATATTAGAGTACTATATTTCCAAAGCAACTACAGCATATGAGAGACACTGATGTATTCAGTAGGGCTGAGATAATTATGGATTCACCATTCACAGAAACATACTCATGACAAAAACATCATTCAGAGTTTTGTACTGCCCAAGAAGACAACTGTCAGATATTGCCTGAGTTTTGCTTTGTTGAGAAGCTTGGAAAACCTCTGAGAAAATGCTAGCATTCACAAAAAAGTTATGAAGTAAAGAAGCTGATTTTCTCTAAAACGTATTTGAAGGATACAGATTATTAGATATGAGTTTAACAAAATACTGCCATTGTTTTTTAATCAAATTTGGTTTCCATCTGTATCAAACCACCTTTTTCCAATGTCCATATTGAAACTGTAAATATCTGCTTGCTGAATCTACTCTTGAAACTAGAGGCATTGCCATGAAGTACTTGTTCCTGGTGACCTGCATGACATTTTTTTCAAATGCTTGGTTTTGATGCGTTTGCATGGAAAACTTTCAATGCCAGAGAACTTCAACTCTTACAGGATTCCTGCCCTTTGTTTTTTCCGCTCAGTACTTCAGTACTGGGTTTTTATTGTTGATCTGACTTTTATATTTATTATATTTTTAAACATTGAAAATCGTGATATCCATTCCCAGGATGATGAAAGTAAAGGATTGCGAGCACTGTATTGGAATGAGTTTCTATACATTGTCTTCTTGCAATTTTCTTACTGCCATAAGAATTCCCATTGAAATATCCAAGATGAGTGTGCATTTGGAGTCCTGTAAATGAAATGTTCTTTCAAGAAATTCTGAACACTGCACCTCCTTGAATATTTCCAAGACTTTTCAACTTGTGTAATACTGTTGAAGTTAAATACCTCCTCAAGTCAAAATTTGTCAAGTCCCCATATGAATTATCTTAGAATTGGTGTATTATAAACCTTTGCATCTTGAAATCTTTTTCCTCTCAAACCTCCTTGAATGAAACTTTCTGAGGCCTTTTGGTTATTGTTCTTTTGACACATGAAAGAAGAAAACAATATATACAAGTACAGTAACTTAATGTTTTTGGAAAGGAAGTCATGATCCATTTGGACAAATTAACCCCTGCCTCCAAGTTCAGCAGGCTGTTAACTTATTTAAGAAGCAGTTTAAGGCACAGAATTTCACCATTAACAATTTCCTGCAATTCTCTCATGTTTCACACAACAAAAAATGCTTATTTACCTATAACTTGAAACCTCCCTGAATGAAACACTCTCATAAGTCCAAACCTCCATATATCAACATTTTCTTGCTGGTCGCTTGAAATTTGACTCCAGAGACGTTTGATTGTATTTGTAGAATCCAAAACCAGTGGACCATTCCATAAAAATGTTCATAAACCAGCCAATGGAGTTTTCTCATAGGAATTCCTGCTGGCATGAAGGAAGTGTGTTAACCGAGGCACACCACTGTAGTGCATTCATTTCCCTGTCCGCGAAATGCGGGGAAGCGGATTTCAGAACCACTGCGTGTTGAAACTCGACCCAGGAGGGCGGAGCGTCTGTTATGTGTATCCGCGTGTATGCGCAGTTGCGTCACTGAATGCGCGACCTTGCGTTGATCCAACGCCGGTGGCAGCCATACCTGCGGAAGGAGTTTCGCGCCGCACTCCCTCTTCTACTACCCCTTTCTCAATTCCCTTTCTTTCCTTTTCTCGCTCTCTCTCTCGCCCGGTGCTTGCGAGACAAAAACCACGGAGGGACGGTGGGCTGGGTTTTGTCGGTTGCTTGGCTGTTCTGTCCAACTTCGCGCGCGCAGGGTGTTCAAACTTTGACGCGCGCAAGTGTGAAGCACTGTACACCCTGTTCAAATTGATGACCACCATTTCATTGGGGGTGGTAATTGTAACAGTACGGTTCAGTGTACTGAGCAGACGAAGTATCTTTGCGAAGGACTGCTAGAGATCCTAGAAATGTTCTTAATGAGGAGATTCGATGGGAAAAATTCGGCTTAATTGTGAAAACTGATTTTAATTTCCTCAGGGCGTGCATGAGCAGGGCAGTTCAGTATTGAGGAAAATAATTCAGTTTCCTAGCTGAATAACGCTATTAATTTGTAGAAAATAAATACATATTCCAATGCAAAAATGCTGTATCAAATGTTCTGATATCTGTACTGGAACTGATCTTTTGAGTAACATTCTTGACACTGTTATAGGCATGGAACTTCGATTCATTACTGTACTTGGAAATTTGGTTCATGGGAATGGTATGCAAAATTGATAATTGCAAGGAATGTAACTACAAATCTTTGCAAAAGTGAATGTTTTGTAAATTTTTCATGACTAGATTTTATGGGATTTTGTCTAACGTGTTTCTAATTGGACGCTTTAAATATATTATTCTTCTTGAGGAACTGTATTTCCAATATTTTTCACTTTGAAATGCAAACAATTATTGCCAACAATCGGAAAATTCAGTTAGTGAAGAATCCCTTCTTCCAGAGCCAATTCACTGAAACAAACGAAGTAATGTTCTCTTCAAATTCTGTGGCCCAAAAAATTGAACTACGTGTGAAAAAACATTATGCCCTGATACTTCATACCACGTGTTCACATTAGGATTATTTTGAAACTCCCTTATTCCTGTAGGAAGTAAAAAAATCGATGAAGTGCATAAAAAAGGTTTGTACACAGGGAATCCAACACTTATATGTGCCCTTTTAATTTTTGAGGTTCAATCAGTAGTACTCAGTACAAACTGAACGTATGAAATATACCACATGTCTGACAATCTGTCCTAGAAAGCCTCTTTTTCTTATAGGAAATACTGTTCTATTATCTGAAGTCATGTTGGGGGTGTGAAAGTGAAAAGCGAAGGTTTGCTCACCCCGGGATTGGGCCTTGGAAGGCAGCAAGCAACAGCACCAGCATTACGCGCGTCGCCGGGAAGAGACCAGACCATATGTGTGTGTGGGCATGCGTGCGTGTGTATGTGTGTGTGTGTGTGTGTGCGTGCATCCCTACAATTGTCAAGTACAGTACTGAACTGAACGCATTCCCCTCCCCTCCGCTGTGCTTTCAAGGAAAGACAGAGAGAGTGAGTGGGGGGAAGGAAGTTGGAAAGACAGAGGTGAGGGACAGAGCAGAAGGGCGATGCTGGAACCTTTAGGAATGTTACGTAATACAATATTAGTTCCAGCAAATTACCGCCGGGCAAGGAGGGTGGCGGGGAGGGGGAATTTATTTTCTTCGCGGTACACGTAGGTGTCGCTGCTTGTCGCGCGCGAGCATCTTCTAGCTCCACCTTGAAATTTCGATATACTGGCGTATATACGAAGTACAGTATCGAGCTCGAGTCCGTTATCCGGGGCGCTGCTTTTTATTCTCCCGATCTCCTCCAGCACGAGTCAAATATTGAAAATGAACGTGCAAAGAGAACGAGAGGCGAATTGAAATAGAGGGAAGAAGGGAGGAGGCAGACATTTGTTGTTGAGGTGAGTTCAGTAACCGTCCACTTGGCCGATCTTGCGAGGGTCAAACACGGCGTTCCATCCGCCGGGAGTGGCGGCGATGCTCACAACGCTGGCGAAACCCACAATGAGCGACAGTTCGTGGCCGATTGTCTCCAGTTCTTCCACCACATCCTGTTGGGTTGGCATGTGTTACTTACACGGTATATCATATCATATACAGTATATTCATTTTATAAATGTGTGTGTGTGTGTGTGTGTGGAAGAGAGGGAATGCTGGGATCAATGGCAGGGGATTTTGATTTTTATCCAGTCTCATTATGCGAGGCAGGATGTGTATAGACTCAACATGTCCGAATACAACTGTAGGAACGAATTCTTTTAAAATTAAAAAAGGAATTATTTTCGGTAGAATGTCTCCTGCCCTTTTTGTACATGTTTCTGGGTATTTTAGGATCAATAAAGCATCAATTAATTAGTTGAGGAAATATTACGGCTGAGGAAATAAGTGCAAGGGTTGTTTTGATTTTCATCACTTTGAGTGGGTGAGGGTATGGAGAATTTGGCAATTTTATGAGAGGACTAAATTAATTAAAAATTGAAAACTAATTTAAAATTAATGCCTTTTCATTATACCAGGTGCACTCTGTTAATAACGAATTTGAGGTACCAGAGAAATTTGTTGTTGGGAGAATTCCCTTGTAGAGAACCCCTTTAACATGGGGAAAAGACTTTGATGTGAGCCAAAATGATTGCATCTGTGTAACAAGTTTTTTCAAAAATCCCCATGGAAAGGAGTTGAAAACAGCTGTGAAAAAATAAATTCTTTGCATACATCTCAGATTAAAAAAAATATTATCTGGAATTTTTTTAAATTTATATTTCAAAATGCATTTAGAGGATTTCCATAACAATATGTTTATAAATTATAATGAACATATTTTTTCATATTTTAATATAACTGCCTGCATGTGTGGAAAACCTGTTGGATTGCTTCAGTACTGAATGCATGAACTCATGAAATGTCTGAGTGCAAGGTGAATCATTGACAGTCACATCAGACAGGCCTGGAATATGCTGAAGCTATTTTCTTGAAAACAGCAAAGGTCATTCTAAAATTGAATCCATGACATTTTCACCAACCTGTGAACTTCTTGAAGAAAACTATTCTTTTGTCATTTTATGGGAAAGTGTTATGTTTTCTTCTCTGTCACCTTGATTTGCTTCTGCAGGATTTTTATCTTTGGAATGCAGAGTGTGGTTTATTGTTGGATTGGTGTTAGGAATTAATTCCTGACCTTCATCAAATGTCAAGAAATTGCTCTGACTTTGAAAGGAAGGGTTTAGGGTTAAATGATCTGTGTTCAAGTAACACAAGCATACACAAAGCAGATCAAGTTTTCACCTCAGGGAAATCCTTTTCAGTCATGGCACTCATGGGGAATAGCTGATGATGGAGTCTTGGGGCAGCTGTTGCATTTCCCAATGTCTCATGGAACTTCAAATTTAGGAGTGACACCTGGTTGAAGCAGAACATTATTCTTCTAAAAATCCATTCAAAGCTTTTCTTTAGATTATTAAAATTGTATTTAAATAATTTACCCATACAACAGCAGAAGTGATTCTTGTGCCTCCAGCTGCTCCAGTGACCAGCTGAACCTTCTGGCTCTTGCGGTCTACAAACACAGATGGGCACATTGATGACAAAGGCCGCTTTTTGGGCTTGATGAAGTTGTTGGGAGATGGAGGAATACCAAAGGCATTTGTGATATTGGGTGCTGAGAAATCATCCATCTCATCATTGAGGATGATTCCTGTTTGCACTGACCTGATCTTTGCCCCAAAGCTGAATAAAAAACACAATAAAGGCCAGTCTGAGTATGACAAACTCAGGTTTCATGAAGCATTTCTGTCCTACATCTTGCCATTGTGATTTTTAAAAAGACTTGGGAAATTCGCCAAATTGAGTAAAATAGGTGAAATGGTGGAATTTTTGTTCTCCAACCTACTGTAAGAAAATATTTGTACACATCCCTGACACAGATCCATTTTGTTTTCAAGACATTGCTGCTAATGCCAAAAGCTCCTCTTGGATCTCATCTGAGCTAACATTTTTGTTTCTTTTCATATGTACCAACATTCATTGTTTGCGTTTGGCTGTTTTAAAAATTGAAGAACAAGCAGCTGATGATGGAAAGTAATTTTATACTATCAAGTATCACCTTTAAAATGAATGAAAGTGAAAATTTGTTTTCTCATCATGAAAATTGGTTGGAGAACAACTTTGTATTGGTTTGAAGCCTTTTCTTTGTATAATGAAAAGGCTTTATATAATGCTTATATAATGTTATGTCAGGAAATCAACTTCCTTAAAATGACACTTGTTCCTCATCATTTAAGAGAAATAGAAATGGATCCCATCTTCTCCCAGAGCACAACTTTTTTCAAGAGGCTGACTCTGTGCATTTATTGAGCAGCACCATGTCATAAGTTTTCATTTTTTGATATACTGGAACATTGTATGCAAAGGAGAAAATATCAATAGAGTATAGCTATGAATTTTACTGAATGACTCAGTGGAAGGATCAGCAGTTTTTTTTTGCTGCACCTCTGAGAAGAAAATTGCAGATTTATAATAATATTGAATCAACTCACTACAGATTGATGGAGCTTGTCACTGACACAGCATCCCCATTCTCACTAACAACAGACACATGAGCTGTTCCATCATCATCAGGGGAGTAAACATGAGCACCATAGTAGCCATGGTCATTGAATGTCTTGTCATCACATATCTTATCTCTGGTTATCCTGACAAAATTCTTGCAACACACATTCTTGAGCATCTGCTGAAACTCTTCATTGTCTTGAAGGAACTCTGGGTCTCCCATCAAAGTTCTTTTCCCATAGGCATGTTTAAAGGCTTCCAGAACCCTTTGGGCTACCAGGGTTTTCTCTGCAGTTGACCAAGTTGAGAATGGGTTGGGGTTCCTGGGTGCTGGGTCTGTCTTGTAGGTCTCCATGATGGCTAGGATGTATGCTAGTAGTGGACCTGAAGTGGGTGCTGGTGAAGTGTGTAGGTCCAGGGACCCCAAAGAGGCTGAACATGCTGGCACCCAATGTGCTCTTTTCAATCCCAGCCAAGAGGAAAAAAAAGAGGTTCATTCTTGGAAGTATGATTTAATAAATGCCATTCAGGAACTGGGATCAATTTGCCAGATTTGTTTCAAGTGAAGAGTACTACACCTGTAAGCTGTGAGGTCATCAAGAGTTAAAATACCACCAAGGGCTTGGATGTCTTGAATAAGCTTCTTGGCAGTTTCCCCAGCATAAAATTCATGGACGCCATGTTTGGCAATTCTCTTGAGAGTAGCTGCCAAAATGGGTCGCCTGATTTTGTCTCCAGTTTTGAACACATCATTGGTGGCATTGTTCCAAAAAATCTCCCTAGTTGTCCAACATTCACAGATAAGTTGATATCTTCTTGTTGTTTGTTGCATGCTATTTATTTAGAAGAGATTCAAGCATAGGCTGAAGAAATACTGTTATAATTAAAGCAGGCTTGTTGCATCCAGCCATATTCTGAATTTTGCTCAAAAAGGCCATCATGAGTACATTTTTGCCATTTTTACAACCACAGTAATTGCTTCCATTTTAAAATATCACTCAACAGCAAAAATTAATATTCTGCTAAAAGACATGTCCATTGGCAAAAACACTTCTTTTGGTGAAGTGAGCAAATAATCATTGCCTGAGTGATGACTCATCCTGAATTTCCTTCCGCTTGCTTTTCAATGCATCCCCCAGAGGCTTGTGTATTTCTATGCCCTCAAGGCACATTTTGATAGCAGGCTGGAACAACCTGTGCCAAGGCAATTTTCCAAATTTCTGATGAGCCTCCCAATATCCAGCAATCTCTCCTGGCACTGCAACTGCTAATCCACCTACAACCAGTATATCATTGAATCAATTGAGAGGTGGTGACACACATTTTAAAGTTGCAACTGATTTATTCCATGTTTTTCTCCAGAAGTGTAAAATTGTCATTTTTTGTGAAATAGCCAATTATTTTGCATTGCTAATCAAGGAATGATTCTGGAATTTAGAATGACCTTTTAAAAAGGCCAACTTCTTTCATCTTTTACTGGAATGACCTCTGAAGCTCCTGTATCTGACTCAATTGAAATATTTCACCTTCCAACAAGAGATGTGAATGGAGAATTTCCTGATCCACATTTTTTTTAAATGTGTAGTGAGTAGAGGCTGTTCTTATCTACTTGAAAATCATTGATTCAAGTTGAAGTACCAGATTTGGAAAGGGTCCCATTGCCACCATACATGTTTTCAGAGGCATGCAGGGGTGCCCATTCCCTGGCAATAAGAGTGTGTGCAGTCCTGGTTACATTGTGCCAAATTGTCATGACAAAGCCTCCTCCAATGCCCATGCTGTGTGCATTTGAGAGCCCATCACAGAGCAGTGCTGCAATGGCAGCATCCACTGCTGACCCTCCTTCCTCCAGGATTTGCCTATCCACACATGATGAATTGAAGAAAAGATTTGAAAGTTGGAAATAGGGGAGGGAGGAACTCCTAGACATGAAACATCACTAGAGTCTTTAAGTGGACAACATACAGTATTTACAAGTGCCTCTGACTTTCCTAACCAATCCACTAAATTCAAGTCAACCATTGAAAGATTGGACCTCTTCATGTTAGAAATAGTATTCATCTTTGAGTGTTTGATTCTTCTAGAAAATTTGTTTTGTTTTTACCTTCTGCTTCCTCAGAACTGAGTCCATCAAGGCAAATAGCATCAAATTTTCAATATATTGAATGAAAAAGTACTGAAATAGTTTTTCATGACCAGGGTTCCAAAGTGTTTAAAACCTATAAAGTAGATTTCTGTGTCCTTCAGCTCAACATGAGAGTAGTGACAGTTGCTCCTGAAAGTACAGTATCCACACTGAGCCTTTTTCTCTTATGTAACCCAACCTAAAAGTTGATATATAGGCAAAATAATGCCTCATCTCAAATCATAAATTCTAACATCATTTTTTCCTAAGATCATAACATGCTTTTTTTCAAAGATGGGTCTTTTCTTGTAAGCATGGATGTTGTACATGAAAAACATACCGCCCAATGGCGGCACATGGGGCCGCATCTGCACTCACAGCAGCATGAGGAAAATATTTGCTATTCCTTAGCTTTCTGGATTCTTGTTTCTCTTTTTCTTTCCCAATTATTCCTTCCTTTCTTCTTGAAATTATTGCGACAGAGGAATGAGAATGAGAAAAGGAATTTTGTCTGGGATTAATGCTTGAAGGGGAGTAAGAAGAAACCAATGAAGGGTATTGTGGGAGAAAGTGGAAAGAAAACTGTGATTTAGATCATGATGTAAAATTTTCTTGGATGTATTGTGTCATTTTGTTCCATCAGCAGTCAAACAAAAGTCAGTGCAGCTCAAAGAAGTGTCTTTTGAATACAATTTTTCTGATCTTCTCAATGTCTCCCTCAAAGTTGAGTCCATAGAAGATGTGATCCACAGCCCTTGCCAACAAGTCCATGGCACTGAGGTAGTTTTCCCACAGCTTTGCCCAACCTGAAACCTGGTCCTGTGAATCTGTTTGTTCAGGAGGTGGTGACTTGTAGGTAGTGATGCCAAAAATGGCTGTTGGGGATGTCACTTGGATGAAGGTTTGTTGCCCCATGTGCATTGTGGTGTGGTTGGTCCCAATTTGGAGGTTGAACTCTGTGCTTCCTTTTCTGTTGACTCTTTGGGCTTTGATGTGGCCTTGGATGATGGTCAGTTTTGCTGACTGTATGCTGGTGTGTAGCAAATAAGTGCTCTCCATATCTGTGGTTTTGGGATATAATTGATCAAAACTGCAGTGAAATCTACAATTTTTGTTGAACTAAATACTGAAAAAAAAACATGAACCATTCTTGCAACATTACCTTTGAAGTCCCCAAAAAGCATGAACTCTGTGCTGGAGAGGCTTGGGGAATGTTGGAATCTGTGGTGGTGAGAGATCACTGGTAAAAGAAGCTGAAGGCTTTCCATGAAAGGATCCCAGGATTGCTTCCCTTCATGATTCAGGTCAATACTAGGGTTGTACATCCTCTGCACTGGTCTGTAGTTCAAAGATTTCCAGATGTCTGTGGCAAAAATTTGAACATCTTGTTGACAATTTTTTGTTTCAGCATGCTCTTGGCAGTACAAATCCCTTATGCATTTTGCCATGTGAAGTGTCATGTCTGGATGCTGAGACCACCTTGTGGATCTTGATAAACCCTATGGCATTTTTTTTTCAGTGAAAAGTTGGAATTTTATTCAAACCCCTATTTGGTAGCTTTACCCTTGGATTGATCTCATAGGTTTTATTTCCAGAGGGATCCTTCAGTGTGAATTTGAGCAATCCTGTGTACCAGTTGTCCACCATCATGTCCCATGAGTATCCATAAAGTCCTTGTGTCCATCCATTGTACCCCTGTGAATTCAAGAATGTTATTGGGCATCTGAAGCATTTCCCATCCTACAGATTACCTTTGTGATGAAATGAGAATAGGGCAGAAATATTTGAAGACCAAAATGCAACATGAACATGACAGCAACTTTGTATTTCTTGGCATTGCCCACTGTTGCCCTATTCTTGACTTCCTTTGTGTTCCTCAGAATTTTTGTTACCATGGATGGTGGGTAGAAGAAGATAGAGAGAGCCAACATGACCCAGGGAAAAACTCCTGCAGTTGGAAATATCTTTGAATTCCAATCTTTCACTCAACACTTTTTTTGTGCTTACCAATATTGAAAGAAAAGGCATTTGTGACATTAAAAAATGTTGCCATAATTAGCGCCACCTGGCGTGTTGGCTTGAACAAGAAGGCTGGTCCAATAAGTGTGTCAAACATCATGCCTCCCCAATGGATGAAAACCAGGTTTATTTTGTCCTCAGGGACACCTGTGAGTTCACTGCATTTTTTTGTGCTTAGTGGACTTGACCATTGGGGGAAATGTATTAATAACTCAAATAATTACCTTGCTATTGACAGCCCAGGCAGCTCCATTCTTTGAGCAGAATAACCTTGAACCCAGTCATCACTGGCCAGTTTTTTCAACCCTGCTATCAAATAAGTGATCAGAGCCTGGTACTGGAACATCAAGTATTGCCAGGTCTCCACTTCTTTTTTTGTTCCATTCAGGCTCCTGTCCAATGAAAGAGATCATCATCAGAGCCCTCTTTTGATGACCATGAATGGTGAAAACTAGGTAAATGGGCTGGCTTGAGATGGATCACTTTCACACTGACCAAGCTGAATCACAGTCACTGATGGTCAGCATGGAAGCCAAGATTATGTATAGGTAAAAATGGTTGTTCCACTGGGACTTGTCCAGGATGTGCAGGAAGGCATAAGACAAGGTGAAGAGACTCCCAGATACTTTGATGTTCAGTCCAAGAAGTAGACCAAGACTCCCTGCAAAATTATTCCTCTTTTGGTGACATATTCCAACACAACTTTTCAAATTCTAAACTCACCAGTCAAGGCCAGGGTGTATATCATGACAATAAACACTGCAGGAACTTGGGGGAGAGTCTCCAGCAATGGAAAATTGCAAATGTTCTCACCCCAGTCATCATCCACTGTAGCGAATCCTCTTGTATAAAACAAGTCACATGTCATGAGCAAGCCTGTTGTAACACACTAGACAAGTTTAACCATGATTAACACTAGTAAACCACTCTTTATTTCCTTACCAAATATGATTCTGAAGAAAGCCAGGCCATGAGGGCCAGTTGGTTCCCAGAAATTTTTTAACCCCAGGCACTCCATAGTAAGACTGAGACCTGTACCAGGGACACCAGGGTTCTCACCTTTTTTTTTTTATCACCAAAGTTAGTGTACAGGACAGAGATAACACACACCCAGAGGAAGCCCCTGATAACGATTTCCTCCTATCTCTCTTTGGGGACAGAAAAGCCCAGCAATACATTTTTGTGCGTTTCCCCAGGGATTTGCCTGATTTAAATTTGTGAAGCAGGAAGCATCCTCTGGGGTGTCGTGCCTCGATGATTTGGTATAGCGTCTGGTTTTGGGGGGTGGAACTGTGGATGGTGTCCGACACTCCGGCTGCCCTTGATCAGACCTGACGCGCTATTCGCAGCAAAACGCTTTTTTGTTGGTTCCTAATGTCATAGGGAAGTTGAATTTTGATTCTTCGTTTGATTTTGTCAAGCCCTCATTTCTTTGGGGAGAATGGGAGAAGAAGAGTGGATGAAATTGATGGAATTTATGAGTTGGGAAAATCGCGTCACCTTTTTGGGCATCCCTGAAACTGGGCCGACCCGGCGAAAAAGAGAGGGGATCAACATTTTCCACATGGGAAGATTCTGATGATCTGTTCGGCGATTGAACGCAGTCCAACGGATAAGGCGTTTCACAAAATCGCTTCACCTTAAATGCAATTTTAAATTCAGAAATTATAGGAAGGTTTTTACGTTTGTATTATTTGTGAGGAAACATTTTTATTCTAGGAAATTAGTTCTGTGAAGTGGAATGTGAATTGGGAAAGTTTTGAATGCCACAAAGGGCAAGGTACAGTACAGACATATCTGAATTCTAATTCTCCAAACCACTGTGGGTTGAGAAAAAGAGCTTATTTTTTGGTATGAAAGCTGACATCTCATTCACCCTAATATTCAGTTTTTTTTGGCGTTGAACCGTAATTTTTTGTTTGCACAGCTGTCCGGGATGTGCTATTGTATGTAAAAATGATGTCATGACAATTGTAAAATATGTTTTTAGAACTGGGACAGCGTCAAAATTCAGAGGGCTGGGATTCATTTATAGTTTTTCATCTTCTGGATGATAATATTACTGCTCAATTGCAGTGTAAAATTTTAGTTTCAATAATTCAAAGCGAATTAGCCTGGGAAGCGAAGTACAGTACTGACAGAACTTGATTTTCAATTCGTTTAATTTGTGTAGCTAAATCTTCACCTATCGCATTATCCATGTTTAAGCCGTTTCTGGGAAATTTTTGCCTACTGTATTCCTAAAATAAGAGATACAGTAGTTCCTCATGTATATTGTGCAACTACAGTATTGTATTGCTACTTGTCCTTTGCGGGGAAAGCTTTCCATGCGGGATCAACTACGAGGGATTTCCTGTCTCCCACTCACACACACACACACACACACTGTCCCCCCCCCCCCCATGAACCTTCTTCTCTACTCACGGTTGTCGTGGATACAGCATATAATCCCTCTCTCCCTCTCAGGCGTACGTTTCGTATGAGATAGTCCTGAGAGGGAGAACGTGGGGACGCCATGTTTTCTGAGACCAATACGGTTGACAGCGATGCACAGACACACACAGATCCCTCCGGCCTCCGTTTCGGGGGTGCGTCTTCGATCTGCCGGAGGATTTTTGTGGTGAATCTGCGGATTTGGATAGAGTTTCTGAGTGAGGATTGCAGAGTTTCTGTGAAATTACTTTGGTTTATTGTCGCAGGGTGTGTCATTTGTGTGATTTCATTGGCAAATTTGATATTATTCTTGTTGGAAATGCCGTTTTCATTCCCGGAAGGTTTTTCCGTGTGGGTGGGTATTCCGTAGGTTTTATCTCAAATTATTGGAAGTCAGTTGAAAATGGTCATTTCTGCTATTCCTGTTTGAAGTTTCATTCTCATTGTAGAAAGTGTTTCATTCGTGATGGATTCCTGGAGCCTGTGATGAAGTTACTTTTCAATGAGCAACGAAAGAAGTGTTTCCTTGAAAATACGTCTAATGTGTAATTCCCTTAGGATGCTTCGAAATTGTCTCGGGATTCTCCTGGAAACCGTGCTCATTCGCAGCTTCTTCTGAAATCGGTTCTTATTTCTTGACAGTCTTCACTAGAAAGGAGGGACCGATTCGATTCCCTTTCGAGTACCGTATTTGAAATTCGAAGAGCTTGATCCTTCTTCTAAATACTGTACCTAAAATTCTTTTGAATGAAATTTTATGTTTGGGACTAAGAGGTAAGACAATTACGATAATTCCTACAAAAATATTACCCGTTGTTTTTTATAACCAGCCTTTACGAAGCTCTGGTCCTATTCTACGAATGAAATGTTTTTTTTTGGGGGGATCAAATTCATGACAGTGGACTAAAAATAGATTAATCCTGTGTTCGCAGACTGTGATTAAATATTTAGTGCATATGTAGTGAGCACTGCATTCTAGAAGTGAAGTCAAGTTTTTTTTGCCTGAGTGATTTCACGCTGTGTTAGTGAATTATCACCTACGAGTAATTCCCTGCTTTCTGATTTTTGCAAAATTTCTGTGAAATATTCATGACTGAAGAAAAATATGAACCTTTCTTCCCTTTCCTGAATTGATAGGAATTTTTGTGATAAAATTTTCCCTAGTTTTCGCCGCAAGGGATCGTAAACATTTCGTTATGAAATCCCCGACGAGAAGTGAACTTTGAAATTTTTCGCGAACATTTTTTGCAATACCTGGAAGTTTTTGAAAAAGAATGCACATGGGCTGCCCGGCGAAGTGCGCAAAGGCGCATCTTGTGGCATTCAACTTCTTTTTCTGGGTGAGAAAAGAAGCTTTTTGTGATGGCGCAACCGAGGGTGTCATCTATACCTGAGACTCTCAACCATTTTTCTAATGGAGTGCACCTCCTTCAAGATGTGTCAGTGTTGCAAATTTTTAAAGGTGTACCACCTGATTAAATACAGAATGAGCTGGACCTTTCAACACTTGAAAATGGTCAAAGTTATAGTGGATTGTGATTTTCTTGTTGTTCTCTTGTTGGATGTATGGAGATGTGAATAATTTTTAGAGTGTTATGCTGGTTATTATCATCATGAGTATTTCTTTTGTGAAGAATTCATTCGGAATAAATTTTCAGTTTAAAATATTCAAGGTACCAACAGGGCAATTATAGGCAAAATGCTTTACAAATTTCACCATAGGTATACTCTCTAAAAATTTGTCTAAAATTTTCTATGTATAATAAATTATTTTGGCCCCATAGGTTTCTCTACCCTTTGAGTGTGGGTTCTCTAAAGTAAAATTATTTCTGCAACAAAGTGGTTTTCTGGTCCTTTGAATTTTGTTGTGGAGAGATTCCACCTGTAGTACCATTGTTTAAGATTCTTTGCCAAAAATACTTTCATTTTGTTCTTGCAATGTTTCCTCCAGTAGGTAACAAATTGTTCCTGCTGGGTTTCAAGAAAGGATTCCTGATCCTCTTTTACTGTACTGTATCTTACTTACTGTACTGTTCATGACTTAAATTTCTGTACTGTATATTACTTTTCTACTGTACTGTATATTACTTTTCTACTGTACTGTATATTACTTTTCTACTGTACTGTATATTACTTTTCTTCTGTACTGTATATTACTTTTCTACTGTACTGTATACAGTAAAATCTCGTTACAACAAATACCGTTACAACAAATTTTTTGATACAACAAACTTTTTTTCAAGTCCCGGCAGAAATCCTATAGACTACATGTTAAAAAAATCTTGTTATAACAAACTTAGAAATTCCGTTATAACAAACTTTTTTGATGCAATTTTTTTGGTTTTTGTGGAAAAATTTGGAAAAATTACTTGAAATTTGCTTGTGTTATTCACCATTGAAGCCTGAATCAAAAGAGGCCTCAACAGAGGCCCAAATGTTTCAAAATCTCCATGGGATCCACCCAGGAGAGAGAGTTTTTCCACCCTTACATGTAATGCCCCTTCCTAGAACACAACAAAAATTGCATGTAGAATTGTTTGGGCCCCTGGAGGTTAATCCAAACATTCTGTTTCTCATGAACTTGCAGGAAGGACAGTCAAATACATAAAAACTTTAATACAGAATAACTGCCCCAACAGCAACGACTTCCCTGGAATACATTTTTTAAAATTTACAGGATCAAACCATGAACCAAGAAGTGCGCAAAATCCATCCAAACATCCAACCAAAGAGCAGTTCTTCAGCATCTTCTGAAGAATAAAAATAAAGATGCATGCCCAAAAGATTAAGAATTTTCATGTCCCATACATTGTGAAAGAGGTTCCAGTACAACTTTGGACAGTGACTGTTCAGCACAAATTTTGTGAACACAGGAATTTTTCTTTACTTTTTAATTCTGGATACTGTGGAATGCTAAGAATTGTATGAAAAGAATTGCTGGTAAAATAAAGATAGAAAATTTGGCCACACAAATTAATTCTAATTTTAAATTGCTTGTGTTTCCCACTTCAGTGCATTTCTTTCATTGCCTTCTTTTTTTTCCTGTGTCTCTACACAGCAATGCATGTCAGTTTTATGTACAGGGTTACAAAAATCAGTCAAATTTCTTAAACAAAATGTACACCTTGCCTCTTTATTGTGCAAAAATGTGTCAATTTTCTTTTAGAAAATGAACAACAATGAAAAGAAAAAATTCAAGCAAAAATATGCAATCATTTAGCTTGGATTAATGGTGCTGTCACCCTGCAGTCATGGCAAAAATCCTTCCATATTGTTTTTCAAAATTATTTTTTGGCAGTCCACAGAATGGGGGATGAAAAACTGCAAAAAAGAAAATGCCAACAATAAACTCTTAATAAGAAGCTAAGCATTTTTTCTGCAGTTGATGACAACAAAAAAAAGGTGGTGACAAGTGAATTTGGAATTATGCCTGCAACTTTGTCAACAATTTTTAAAAATTTGTCAAAAATTAAATTGTGTGACTTCAACATGAGACCTCATTGCAAGCAAATGTGGACTGCTACTCATGAAGACCTGTACAAGGCTGTTTTTGCATGGTTTCAAGAAGTGCCATCTAGCAACATTCCTATAAATTGACCCCTAATTCAAGAGAAAGCCA